TTCATCTAACATTTATTGAACACATAGAGTGTACCAGATTATATGCTAATTCTCTGAGATATGAAGATAAATAAGGTTAAAATGATCTTTGGATCACTTCACACCCACTAAAAACCACCTGCCTTCATGATTACCTGATGTGTGTCATAGTAGAACTGTGCTCTACAATGTTTTTAGTGGCTGATATTTTGGAAGTAGATTGCCAGGGTTTTCTTATGAGGTGATTCTGGGTGGACTTGAACCTCCAACCTTTTGGTTAGCAGCTGAGAGTGTTAACTGTTTGTACCACCCAGGGACTCCTCATACCCACTAGGATGGCTGAAATTAAAAACAAGTGTTGGCAAGGATGTGGAGAAATTAGAACCCTCTACATTGCTGATAAAAACCCCAAAACCAAACCCACTGCCCTTTAGTTGATTCTGACTCATAGTGACCCTATAGGACAGGGTAGAACTGCCCCCTGGGGTTTCCAAGACTGCAACCTTTATGGAAGAAGACTGCTTTCTTCTGAAGAATGGCTGGTGGGTTGAAACTGCTGACCTTCTGGTTAGCAGCCGAGCGCTTAACCATTGTGCCACCGGGCCTCCCTACATTACTGTAAAAATGGCGTGGCAGGGGCATCTGACCTCTTCTAACTTCATAAGGGGGAAGGAGAATCAAGATCAGCAGCCCAAGGCTGATTCCTGTGAGATGAAGGTCAGGCATACCTCCTTTCTCCAATTCTGACGCCAACCATCGCTCCCACAGCTCTCTACTTCTCTGCTGGTTTTGATGCTTTGTTGCAGTGGCCACACAGAACTCATAGACCATACTCACAGTTATGGGGTTTATTAGAGAAGTAACAGGTTACAATTCAGGATCAGGAAGGACTCAGGATACAGTTCTTGGATCAGGACAGCATCTTTTCAGCTGTGCTTTCAGGCAGGCCTCTTTCTGGCCCTCAACCTCTTGGCTTCTCGACCCCTCTGCCTGGCCTTTGCCTTGCTCAGGCAAGTGTTACAAAGCTCTTTAGCTCCACCAGTAAGTGCTTGGGGGCACCCTACTCCACCAGAAAGCCTTGGCCTAAAGGTGCTCAGCTCTCTCATTCTCTGGGTCGGCATACCCACTGTAACCGCTTTGCTCCGTAGGCTGGGAAGCCCACCTCACCATCTCGCACTGGTCTCCTGGTTCTGCTGCTGCTGTTTCTCTGCTGCCGCTTCTCCCCATCTTCCGCCTGTGTTACAGCTCCTGTGTTACAGCTCTGTCTCTGTCTCCTGGGTCTAGGAGGTTCTCAGCACAGGGACCCTGGGTTCAATGGATGTGCTCCACTCCTAGCCGTTCTTTCTTGGTGGTAGTGAGATCCTCCCTTTCCGCCTCTGGGATGGCTCATTTTAAACCTAGCGGGATGGCAGAACTGACCAGTCCCCTTGTTAAGTGTTCCCTATACCTTATTTGCATGGTCCCACCCCCACAAGGGTGACATGTGCCTTATTTATATTATTAGCAAGCTATCCAATCCCCTTGGTGGGCCACAAGCATCTTATTTGCATAGTCCCACCCAGTCTTTTGATGGGAATCACAAGACCATGGCTATAAAGGCCATATAAAAGCTATCTGTTGCACTGCAGTTGCTGATAGGAATGTAAAATGGCATAGCCACTTTGGAAAATGGTTTGACAGTTCCTCAAAATGCTAAACCATATGACCCAGCAATTCCACTGGTAGGTATATATTCAAGAGAAATGAAAACATATGTCCACACAAAAACTTGTATTTGAATGTTCATAGCAGCATTATTCATAATAATAAAAATATAGAAAGAACTCAAATGTCTATCAACTGAGGAATGGATAAACACAATGTGATATATCCATACAATGGAATATTATTTGGCAATAAAACAGAATGGAGTACTGATACATGGTACAACATGGATGAACCTCAAAAACATGTTAAGTGAAAGAAGCCAGTCACAAAACACCACATATTGTATAACTGCATTTGAAAGAGCCTTGTGGCACAGTGGTTAAGAGCTTGGCTGCTAACCAAAAGGTCAGCAGTTCAAATCTACCAGCAACTCCTTGGAAACCCTATGGGGCATTTCTTCTCTGTCATGTAGGGTCACTATGAGTTGGAATTGACTCAGTGGCAACAGGTTTGGGTTTTTGTTTTGAGTATTTATATGAAAGGTTCAGAAATGGGAAATCTATAGATATGGAAAGTAGATTAGTGATTGCCTAAGTATAAAGTGGGAATGGGGAGTCAAAGCAACTGAGCATGGGGTTTCTTTGGGATGACGGAAGTGATTTAAAATAAGATGGTTGCACAAACTCTGTAAATATACTGACAATCATTGATTTGTACCCTTATTCATCTGTAATATTTTATGAAAGAATGAAGTCTTTAGCTGCATGGTTGATCAGTCTCTAATTTGGAAGGATCAACTGAGACCTCTGAAACGCCAGGTTGCCCAGTCAGAGGGGTGGGAGATGGGGTTCCAGAGTTTAGGGCCCTTTGCCATTAGCTAGTCCTTGAAGCCAGGGCAGGAGGCCATACCCTGGCGATGATGGATGTTCCTGATGTGTGAATATATATGGTAGTCACTTGGTAAATTCTTATTGATTTAATTTGGTAGCATCCTGTTATATCACATCTCATCACACTAAGGCAACTAACTTTTTCTTCTGTGGTAACTAAGGAGGCTGGCAGTTTTGAAGGCCAAAGTAATGTAGCTGACTCCAAAGCTTTGGAGTTAGACAGATTTGGTGTGAATTATCATCACATTTTAGCTTTAAGGGACCTTAAAAGTCATTTAAGCCAACCCCTTCAGTATATAGATGGGGAAACTGAGACACAGAGAGAAGTGCCCTACTCAGTGACATGGCAAGTAATTAGCTGTGCCAGATTAGGACCTACAACTGTTTTTGTCTTCACTGAGAGGGATGGTTGTTGCCCTGAAGACACATCTTGGGGTGACAAGTAGGAATAGGATAAAACCCAAGGACATAAGACATACCACATGGGCTAAATTTTACTTTCCATCCAACCTAGCTTGTTCTGGTGCTGGGAATCTTTTGGGGAAACGAAGTTTCTACATGTAGCAACAAAATAACATCCTTCACTCTTTCTTCTCTTTTCCTGTTTTATTTTTCTTCATAACACTGCTACCAGAAATTATTTCCTATGTGTATTTATTTATGTGTTTAATATGTATCTTCTGCATTAGGAGATGAATTTTATAAGGGAAGAGACTTTATTTTATGCCTGTCTTGTAATCGAATGAATGAATGAGCAAATGAATGAATGAACAAACAAATATTTATTGACTGCCTTCAAGAAGCCAGGCATATGGTTTCCATGACTTTGACAGTTTAAGGTCAATGGCATGTATGCTTCTTTGTTTGGGTTTGATTATTCATGAATGTATCTAAACCTTTCTTGAACGCAGATTACACATTATTGTCAAATGAGTATATTTAAGATTACATTTGTTTGTGGATTTAGGCAGTGTGAGATTTAGTGTGAATTTAAGCCTTATTCTGCTTGATCAAATAGGCCCAGTAGAGAAGAGAATCTCAGAAGCACCAGAGCAGTGTGACTTGGCAGCTGGGGAGAGAACATTTGATCCATAGCTGCGGCAGACAGCAGGACCCAGGGCTGACTTATTCATTAGGCACAGTAGGCACAGTGCCTGGTGGCCTATAAGAATATTTTTATTTCTTTTAAAATCAGGAGAATAAAAAAAAGTGGATATAAACTAGCTTTGATTATATTCATCTTTATATCAACACTACCATAAAATACGTTAAATTTTATTTTATTTTTTTATGGAGGAAGGGGCACACAAAGACAAAAGTACCTGGGGCCTACGAAAGTCTTAATACGGCCCTGGCTGGACCCAGTGACTAGTTTGGCTGCTTAAGGCCCTAAGCCCTGACTCTGGTTTCTCCTATAAGGTCCGTGACCTTCTCCCTAACAACCCATCACCATGATCTTCAACGGGTCATTTCTCTGCTTTGTATCTCATTTGTGCCTTCTGTAAAATAGAAATGATTGCACTCCTTAGGCTGAGTAAATTCATGCTTATAAAACAGCCCAGCTGCTTGATTTTGTATCTGTTTTCTTCTTAAGCACAGGGGAAAAGTCTGGTTCATTTCTGTGTCTCAATGTCTCGCTCAGGACCTGCACCTTGAATGGGAATTGAATAGATGAAGAAATGAATCAAACCTTGCAGTTAGCTTTGGAGTTTTTTTTTTTTTTTGGAAGGGAGGGGGTTGTATTATAGACAGGTCTCCAGCTATGTTTAGTCTTTTCTGAGAGTCTGTCAGCAAAATTTGTAGAGCTGTGGGGACACTTAGGAAGATGTGGAAAATAAAAGTGATGCACTAACTTGGAGAGTTAAGAGCCAATGTGAAAAATGAGGTACACATGGGAAAAGAATAGTCTTTTTCAACAAATGGTGCTGGGATAACTGGTTATCTCCATGCAAATGAATGAAGTTGAACCCCTACCACATACCATATACAAAAATTAATTCAAAATGGATCAAAGACATAAATGTAAGAACTAAAACTATAAAACTCATAGAAGAAAACTTAGGTGTAAATTTTTATGGCCTTCGATTAGGCAATGGTTTCTCATACATGACACCAAAAACACAAGCAATCAAAGAAAAAATACATAAATTGGACTTCATCAAAATTAAAAACTTTTGTGTTGCAAAGGAGACCATCAAAAAAGTGAAAAGACAACCCACAGAATGGGAGAAAATATTGGCAAACCATGTATTTAGTAAGAGACTTGTATCCAAAATATATAAAGAACTCTTACAACTCAACAATAAAAAGATAAATAACCCAATAAAAAATGGGCAAAGATCTGAATAAACATTTCTCTAGAGAAGATATATAAATGGTCAATAAGCACATGAAAAGGTTTTCAACATCATTACCCATCAAGGAAATGCAAATCAAAGCCACAATGAGATACCACTTCACACTCACTACCAGTTGTCTCCTAGTTGATTCTTACTCATAGTGACCCCATGTATGTCAGAGTTGAATTCCATAGAATTTCCAGTGGTTGATTTTTTGGAAGTAGATCACCAGGCCTTTCTTCTGTTACCACCCACTAGGATGCTATAATAACAAAGACAGACAATAATAAGTGTTCGTAAGGATGTAGAGAAATTGGAACCCTCATACATGGCTGTTGGAACTGTAAAATAGTGCCACCACTTTCAAAAACAGTCTGACAGTTCCACAGAAGTTTAGACATAGAGTTACCATACGATCCAGCAATCCACTCCTGGATATACACTCAAGAAAATGAAAAACATGTTCCCACAAAAACTTATATATGAATGTGCATAGCAGCATTATTTACAATAGCCAAAAAGTGGAAACAACCTAAATGTCCATCAAGTGATAAATGGATAAATGTGGTATAAAGGTACAATGGAATATTATTCACCTATAAAAAGGAATGAGGTACTGATACATGGATGAATCTTGAAAACATGCTAAGTGGAAGAAGGTAGTCACAAAAGACCGCATACTGTGTGATTCTGTATGAAATATCTAAAATAGGCAAATCTATAGAGATAGTAAATTAGTGGTTGTCTAGGGTTTGGGGGAGGATAGAGAATGACTGCTAATGAACATAATTTCTTTTTCGAGGTGATAAAGATGTTCTGAACTTAAATAGTGGTGATGGTTGCACAAATCTGTGAATATACTAAACACCACTGAATAGTACACTTTAAATGGATGAATTTTATGGTTTGTGAATTATATTTCAGTAAAGCTATTACAAAAAAATCAGATGCACAGGGGCACGTGACTTTTAGGACAAATTGTGAATGTCAGTGCTCGGATGCAGTAACAATGCTTCTCAAACTTTAATGTGCATATGAATTACCTGGGTATCTTGTTAAAACAGATTTTGATTCAGGCGGTCTGGGATGGAGTTACATTCTGTATTTCTTAACAAGCTCTCAGGGCACTGACGCTGCTGGTCTATGGACTACACTTTGAAAGCAAGGCAGTAGAGGATGTTTGTGTCTTCAGTGAATGGGATCGGTCTGAAGAGCCTTCCTGGAGCTAGGAGGATTTGGCCAGGTTTTTGCAGGAAGGCAGAACGTAGGTTGGTGGAAGAGAGGGACTTGAGGGACAAAGTAAAGATTCTTAAAGATGCAGGAACCATAGATTATAAAATATTTGTGAGGGACAAGAGGCATGTTTGTGGGTATACAGTGGCAGGTCCCTGAGTCTTTTGTACCTGAGAAAGTATAGCAGCCAACCTCTGAACATTTTCCATTCTTGTGGAATTTTCTCTTGCCCTCTGTTTGACATTTTTGGTTTAACTTCTTTCAATTCTGGGCTTATGTAGATTGGCATGGCAAGGGGCCTTGTGAGATCTTAGGAGGGGTTGATTGGCTGGCACTAAAACATTCTGCGTGTGGTTCAGAGGAGTTGGATATGGCGCCATCACTCAGTACCCTTGTCTTCAGAGCTTACCTACCTAATTGACTACCTGGGCTCTGGACAGGGTGCCTTCAGACTGGGTTAGTGCTTGGCCCCAGATGAATAAACTCATTAACGAGGGAGCAAATAAAGATATCTTTCCAGATGCTACAGGTTAATTATAGCTATAGTTTACAGCTTTCCTTGTTTTTCCACTTGAGCCAGAAGACTACTTTGAATGTAATTTAAATAACCTTTCAGTTCAGGAGTCAGTTATTAAAGCCAGATGACCTCTTACTCTCAGCATTTGTTCTGCTCTATGGAGTGCTAAATGATCCTCCAAGCCCCAGATCTAGTCTCAGCCTTTGCACTTGCCTTTCCGAGCTATTTTCCGTGAGGCTCTGAAAGCCTTACTATCCTGTGCTTCACCAGCATTCAGTTATGCAGCCTCTCCTAGTAGTGTAAAGTATGTCCACTTTCTCAGGAGGAAAGGCAGTAAAATCACTTGGTTACCTTAAATGTACTTTCCCTCACAGCCCTACGATGAAGCCAGAAGTCTTATTCTCTCTGTTTTCCAGATGAAGAAACTAAGGCACATGCCTGGCCCACTGTCTCACTGAGAGGCACCCCTGTGCCTGGCCCAGTTCTCTGGATTTTCCTAGTTTTCCCTTCAGTGGACTTATCTTGCTTTCTTGGACATGTAGTTTGTTTTGTTTTGACATACAGTTTTTAACAGGGTTTCTCTGGATGTCCCCGATGTCAGTTGAATATTCCTTTCCCAGATGCTTATTTATTTTTCATGTGTTTGTTTATTCTCTAATTTAAGCATCTCCAGGTGGGATACTGGTTTGTCAGCATACTTACTCTTGGAGAGAATTCTGTTCAGTTCCACCATTGAGTGCTTAGTGTATATGCTCAGATCCGTACCATTCTCCTTGGAAGACACCAAAGCAGTTTTAAAGTGTGTCTTGGCTCTGAGAGAACTTCTAGGTTTATGGAGTGGGAACAAGATAGACATAAGCAGAACCAAGATTAGGGTGAGGCAAACAAGGTTCTAGGGCACAGACTTTAAGGAGGCAAACACTCTAAAGGTCAAACATATGCAGGGTTGGTACCTGAGAGTGAGTGCCTCTGTGAATTTTGTGCCGTAGGCCTCTTCCTTCTCCACCCTAGTCCTGGTCCTGGACTTAAGAAGCAGTTAGAGCACTTGGAAAGCATGTTTAAGATAACATAAGACTATGAATGAGTGGCATAGAACAGTGCTTTGCAAATTCAGTGTGCATACAGATTACCTGGAGAGCTTAGTAAAAGGCAAGTTCTGATTCAGTAGGTTTGGAGTGGTGCCTGAGATTCTGTACTTCTCACCAGCTCCCAGATGATGCTGATGCTACTAGTCCTTGAGCCACACTTTGAGTAGGAAGGAGAAAATACATGCTGGAGAAAAGTAGAGGGCTGAATTCACTAAGCTAGGGGACGTGAAGTTGGAGCTGAGTTCTCAAAGGATAAGCTAGATTTGTATAGAAGAAGAATGAGATGGAAGGACATTGCAGGCAGAAGGAAGAGTACATGCAAAGGCCTAGAAACAGAAATGAATCCTATGTGTTTTGGGACAGTGAACAGACCGACTTCGCAAGACAGGTCAAGATTGGAAAAGAAGAAGAAAGGAATTTTGATAGGTAGCGTGAAACCTATGGATTAATTGATCCTTCAGAAATGTGGTTCTTAATTTTCTGCTTAGGTACTTCCCAGATGGGCCTTTCCACTTCTTGAATTCATTTGCCCTCTCTCAGAGGTGAAGGCCTTGGTCCTTCTAGGGAGATAAAGGCCTAAGTCAAAAGCCCTCCCTAAATAATGATGGACGTTCCTACTACGCACTTATAAACGATGCCTGGTAAATATGTGCCCATTTGACTCAATAGTAGAATTCTACCTATTTCACTTCAAATGTCCGTTTAAGGTACTTTTCTGAATTTATCATAGGAACAGTAGGAAACTGGGCCTTGAACACCATGAAACACTAAAGAAAGATTTGTCGATTGATTCATTTGAGTAATTCTGAAGCTTTGTCTCTCGTTTCTAGGTCAACGAATGTTTTCAGCTCAGTCAATGTAAGAGATATTGAGTGACTTCGTATACTGAGACTTGGTTAGCCTTCTCTATGGTTACAAGGAAGTAGAAGACTTGAGCCCTAAACTCAAAGAGTTTACTATTATTCCAAAGCAGTGGTTTTCACCTGGGGATGATTTTGTCTCCCAGGGTACATTTGGCAATGTCTGAAGATGTTTTTGGTTGTTGCAACTGGGGGGATGCTACTGGCATCTGGTAGGTAGAGGCCAGGGATGCTGCTAAACATCATGCAATGTACAAGACACCCCCCACACCCCACACAAAGAAGTAACTAGCCTAAAATGCTAGTAGTGTTGAGGTTGAGAAATCCCGCTCTAAAAGGACAAGGCTAAGGTAAATAGAACCAGAACTTTGAGGTTGGAAGGCCATATACCACTAGTTAATAGCAGAGCAGAGACTGAAGCTCAGTTCACCCTAGTTTAATGTGTTTCCTGCTACCATGGGGTCATTTAGAGTCAAGTGGTATTATATGACAGAATATTTTATCTAATGTCTTCTTCCACTAATCCTGGTTCATACTTTATGCGCTAGCCATACTCAATTGTTTGTATACTATGCAACTTTATTTCTTTGTGTTCTTGTTAGTCCCTCTGCCTGGAACATCCGTCTCTCATTTCTTCGTCTTCATCTCAGTTCCAGAGATACTGCACATCTTGTCCAGGAAGTCTTCCCTGATATATAGCACCCTAGATTGGGTTAGAAGTCATTTCTGTATTCTTCCATGTGTCTGTCTTCCTCACTAGGTTGTGAGGTTGTTGGGGGTTAGAACTCTTTTCACTCTTCTCATTGCCTATCACAGCACATACAACACACTTTCAGTCATGGGTGTAAGCCAACATAAGTAGTTAGAGAAGGGAGAGATCAGTGTGAAATGGCAGTGTTGGGGAAGGCTTCATAGAGATTGTGAGACTTGAAGCTTCCCATAATTCCTTAAAGATATTGATGAATTCATGAGTACCTCCTGTTGGGTAGGGACAGTTCTAAGATAGTAATGGATTTTTTTGGTGGTGTCTTTCTACAGGTTGATATGTCAGACCTGTCCCCAGAGGAGCAATGGAGGTAAGTGTGGCAGTGTGGGCCCCTCAGGCTGGGAACTGCAGGTTAACCCAAGTAATACAGTTGTATATCTATCCTTTTTGCTTCCCTGTATATGGGAGGGAGTGGCTTATGACTGTCAGGACAGGTCTTTTGGGATCTTTCCCAGTCCCCGGGTGACTCCTGGGTAGCTCCCTTGGTCCTAGAGTGTAAGTAGGTAATCTGTACCACACCATTTGTCTGGGTTTGAACACTGTTTCTACCGTTTACTAGCTATATGATCTTGGGCAAGTTGTTTAACTTCTCACTGCCTTAGTTTTCCCCAGTTGTAAAATTAGGATCATAACAGTACCTACCTCATAGAGTTGTTGTGAGGATTAATATATATGAAGTTCTTAGATCCGTGACTGGCATGTGGTAAGCTTCTAGTAAGTGTTAACTGTTTTAAAGATGATTATCATCATTGACATCATTATCACTGTCCATGATATACTTGCTCTGTAACCAGAGTGAGTCAATAAACATCATCTCAGTGTCATGATTTCTCAGTAGTAAAGGAGTTTCAGAGTACCTGCCTCTACAGACTTCACAAAGTGGCTGACCAGTGAGCTGAAATTAGCCAAGTAAAGTTTAATAGTGAGAAAAAAACCCTTCATTTAGATTAAAACTATTAATTATACAAATATAGGATGGTAAAGATACTAACTCATATGACAAACTCAGGGTGATTTTAGGTGGCTTTAAACGATGGCAGCTAACAACAACAAGCTCAGTATGCACCAGTTGTGTACTCAGCTACCAAAATAGTGCAGACCATTTAGAAGATGTTTATAGAAATATACTATCTGCCTTAAGGGAGGTGACAGTGCCACTGTGCTCTACTTCGCTGAAGCACATTAATTTTGTTCTAGGCACTGAATATTTAGAGGATCTTAAACTAACTGGATCATGTCTGGAAGAAGGCAGCCAGAATAAATGGTCTTCACATCATGCTGTATGAGCAGTGGTTGAAAGAACTAGAACTGTTGGCCTGAAAGAGCATAGGAAAGGGGTGGTAGGAACAGAATAGTTTTTTTTTTTTTTCAAATAGGATCGTGATAAATCTTTGAAGGGGTGGCATTGAGAAATAGGAATGGGTATGTCCTTTGTTGTTCCAGAGTATAGGACTAGGTTCAATGGGTTGAAGCTGTAAGACAGTAGATTTTGTCTCATTATTGGAAACATCTTTTAATAATCAAGGTGTCTTGAGAGGTAGTGAGTTTCTTGTTCTTTAAAGCATTGGGATTTTATTTGTTCATAAGCAAATATGAGTACTTACAATGTGCCAGATACTTCTGGTTCTAGAATAGACTACCTTAAGAGTCATATGTTCTCAATCAATGGAAGTATTTCAGTATAGGACCACAAAAATAATTTTTGCATTGGTGGGAGCTTGGTCTAGTAACTTCTCTGGTCTTTTCCAAATTCTTTCTTTGATTTCATGTTGTACACATCCATTCAGTTCTATACTAACTGAGAATAAGAAACTTGTCTGTTGCTGTCTTTATGACTTCCCACAGTCCGTAGGTTTTTAAAGTGTTCTCTACTCTTTTGGCTTAGCATATCCTAACAACAACCCTATGAAGGAAGCAGAACAGATACGAATTCCTTTTGACAGATAAAGAAATTGTGATGTAGAGAAGTGAAGTTTCTCAGCCAAGGCCACATAGGTACGTCTGAACCTAAGTATCTGATTCCCAACCCTGTTCTCTTTCTGCCAGATTCTGCACCCAGGATAGAGTTTTATACAAGATGAACCCTTAGATTCTGTGGCTGGCTGGCTGACTACTCCTACAAAGGCTCCAGAGTGACTTATGGCTGCTCACTCTGCCCACTGAGTCCCCACCTCTAACATTTTATTATGAAAAATTTTAAATATACAGAAAAGTTGAAAGAATTGTACAGTGAACACCCTTATACCTACCACCTGTATTCTCGGTTAACTTTCTGCTATATCTGCTTTATCATATATCTGTCCATGATTCGTCCCACTGGGTTCTTTTTGCTGTTAGTCTCCATTGCCCTTGGGAGTCTCATAAAGCCATCATTTATGTTGTTCTGTCTCTCCCTCTCCAGTAACCCCTTGCATAGGTAATTTGTTTAAAAGTTCCTGGCTGCAGGCTACATTTGAATTTGGTTTTCCCCCTAAGTCCTTCTTCATTTCTCTCCTGTGGCTGACTTGGAGTGGTGAGGGTGACTATTCTGCTCTGTTCTAAGAGGAAGCTTTTTGCCAGTATTGACCAAGGGATCACCTACTGCCAGTCCTCAGGACCAGAAAATGCTGACCTTAGATTAAATAAATTCCATCTGTACTCTCTAATTACTGAGCTTCCTTGAGCCCTTAAGGAGGCTGTTTACCTGTGGAGGCTGGTGGTGAAGTCATTATTGGATTAGTATAAAGTTGAAGCAGTCCAGATTCTTTAGGCTTAAAATAACCTTAAGGATCCCTGGCCTTGTGGGGTGGTAGGATGAGTGAGACAAGAATTTAACACTAGAATAAGCACACTTTTGCAGTGTTCCTGTTACTCATTTATTGGTGTCATAAATATCTATGAGGCTTTATGGCTATAACCTTCTCTCTGAATTACTTTCTTCTTCCAGTGACAGGTTGAAATAGGCAGTGACACTGGCATCTTCTGGGACCTCCTTCTGCTACAGGAAAGATGTCAGCTGTTTCTGCCATGGGAGTAGAGGGAAGCAGTAGACCACCCACTCACCCACCTCTAATCCCAATAGCTGAACTTGGTTCCTGGGCCCCATAGAGGCCTGTTCTATCCCCAGATGCTTGCTCTCTAGGGTGTGTGTCCTTCTAGCCCCAAATTTGCACAGTACCCTGCAGCTGCCAAACACAGAAATGTATTCTAAGCTCTGGATTGGTGGAATATCCCTGGAAAGCACTGTCCCTTTACCACCACATCGTCTCTGACCTGCCTCACCCCATCTGTTTGGCTTTTCAGGGTCGAGCACGCACGCATGCATGCCAAGCACCGTGGCCACGAAGCCATGCATGCCGAGATGGTCCTCATCCTAATCGCTACCTTGGTGGTGGCCCAGCTGCTCCTGGTGCAGTGGAAGCAGAGGCATCCCCGCTCCTACAATGTAAGCCAGTTTTCTTCTCACTTCTTTGTTAGTCAGCCATCAAGAGATCCTTCCTAAGTATTCTAGGGCCCAGCCTAACCTAGACCACATGTAGGCAGAGAATAGACAATAACAGTGAACTTTGTGTATGTGAATGGTGAATAGTATATCGTCTGAGTGTCTAATGTGCAAGTGATTCAGAGGGTGAAACGGGTGGAACATGTGACTCCTTTCATGGCCAGAAAAGGTAGGTCCTCCCTTTTAAACATGGTGATAGATTCATGAAGGAGGTATTTATCAGGAACTATGAGCCCTGGTGGCACTGCAGGTAAGCGTTTGGCTGCTAACCAAAAGATCAGCAGTTTGAATCCAGCAGCAGTCTCTCTGGAAATCCTATGGCGCAGCTCTGCTCTGTCCTATAGGGTCGCTATGAGTCAGAATAGACTTGACAGCAATGGGTTTGGGTTTTTTTGGTTATTTAGATGGAGGGAGCCCTGGAGGCACAGTGGTTAAGTGCTTGGCTTGGTTTGAACCCACCAGCTGCTCTGTGGGAGAAAGATGTGGCATTCTGCTTCCGTAAAAATTTACAGCCTTGGAAACCCTATGGGGCAGTTCTTTAGGGTCACCATAAGTCAGAATTGACTCTATGGCAGCAGGTATTCAGATGGAGGGAGAGGTGGTCACTTGACTGGGAAGACCAAGCCTCCAGTGCATCGTACAGACAGAATTTAGATTCAACTAATCTTGTTTAGGATATGGCAGGCAGTATACTGGATTCTTTTACAACTGTTATCTTAGAAGCTTTTAACATAACTTTTTAACATAAAAAACTTGACAGATACCCACATGGTAATAGTTATTCTTTGAAAGAATTCAGGAACATAATAATAATAGCTAATATTTATTGAGTGCTTACTATGTGCTAGCCATTGTTCTAATCACTTTACATGTATAATTTAATTAATCCTCACAATAACGCAATAAAGTAGCTATTATTTTCTCTAGTTACAGATGAGGGAAGGCATAAAAAGGCAAAGTAACTTGCTCAAGTGATAAAACCAATATTTGAACCCAGATGATTTTGCTCCAGGTATTTCAGTCTTAATCCCTAAATGATCCTATTTGTCTGTTGTTGTTGTTGTTCTTGGGTGCCGTGCAGTCATTCTTGACTCATCTATTATATGCTTTTTCAGACCTTTTATAATATAGGCAAAGATGCCCAGGGACCTGTAGCCCACAGGATTATTTTATTTAATCCTCCCAACATCCCACAAGAGAAGTAGGATGTTAAATGAAGAAACTGAGGCCCGGAGAGTTGAAGCATGAGGGGGGGTAGTAGTAAGTGGAGTCAGGATTTGAACCCAAGTCTTCTGTTTCATATTTCATATTTTCTATTGTACCATGTGTTACTTCTGGAAAGTGTTTTCTATCATGGGAAACAAAGGGTAATCTGCAGCATAGGAGTAAGGGAGGCTAATCTTGGTTCTTGAGCTGGGCACAGTTCCAAACAGCACTAGCCTATAGCCAACTGAAGCGCTGGCACGTACTACAAGTAGGGACACTTGTACCTTCAGGTCACAGTGTATAGAATGCCCACATGGCACTAAGACTTTCTGATCTAAGGACCATTCAGCAGGCTAAGTCACATGGGATGTGGCTCCATATCTGGATCCTGCTCAGACTTTGCCCTGTCCTCTGAGACAAGTCACTTGTTTCTCAGTGTGTGGTTATAGTGCCTACTCTGTAAATGAGGATTACCAAGATAGGTTAGTGGAACCTGCAAAAGTCAGAAAACTCAGAAACCAACTATAGAGCCAGAGCCCCCTTGGCATTTCTGTGCTTGTATTTAGAATAATCTTAATTATATAATGTTGACTAACCTGCAAAGGTTTTTTTTTTTAAAAACCTGCGCGACGACAAAAAAGACCAGACTTACTGGTCTGACAGAGACTGGAGGAACCCCTGAGACTGTCGCCCTTGGGACACCCTTCTAACTCAGAACTGAAGCCACTCTTGAAATTCACCTTTCAGCCAAAGATTAGACAGGCCTATAAAACAAATAACAACACACGAGACGATCATGCTCCTTAGATCAATCAAGTATATGAGACTGAATGGGCAACTCCTGCCCAAAAACAAAGATGAGAAGGCAGGAAGGGACAGAAAAACTGGACGAATGGAAACGGGGAACCCAGGGTGGAAAGAGGGAGAGTGCTAACGCATTGTGGCGATTGTAACCAATGTCATGAAACAATTTCTTTATAAATTTTTGAATGAGAAACTAATGTGCTCTGTAAACTTTCACCTAAAACACACGCACGCACGCACAAAACCTAACGTAAAGAAAGTGAGGATGCATATAGTATGTACTACAATGGTTTTCAGTAAGTACTTTTTTTTTTAAAGGTGTAGAATCCTTTCTTCAAACAGTGTCTTAAGGAAAAACCCAATATGGGAAACAATTAAGAAGCTTCTCTGGTTGATATGAGGGTTGGGTAACCCTGACCCCTCTCAAGCCTCTAGGGCTCATCAGAATACTTACAAAACCACGGACTTGTCATCTTAGGGCTCATCAGAATACTTACAAAACCACGGACTTGTCATTAACTAGTTAATCCTTAATAGGAAATGTGACTGTAATTTAATAAGGCCAGTTGTACAAGGAACATGCACAGTCATCTTACTGCTTTACTGCCACACCCTATAACATTATGCCACTAGTGAGAGGACATGTGAATGTTGTATTATAGAATGTAGTATTGTAGTATTATATTATAGCTTGTCTTGTTCTGAGAAGCTTAAACCCAAAGTTTTAGAAAATAGAAAATCTGTAACGTCCTGCTCTATGCTATTATACAATAATGATCTGTTAGTTTTGTTAAAACACTTGTGAACTTGTGTACCATAAATATTTTTACTGCTTTGATTAAAATACTAACTTTGGAAGAAGGAAAATTGTCCAAGAGACATGTACACAATGGCATCTCCTATCCTTTCCCAAGTTTATCAGAAGTTGGAGCTGTTTCGCCTTGGAGGCACTGTTATGTAGTGAGTTAGACCAATTTGGCTTGATTATCCAGCTCTCCTACTTCCTAGCTATGTGACTGTACCTCTCTGAGCCTCAGTTTTTCTTACATCTAGACTGGGACGATAATATCTACCTCATGGGTTGTTGTGAAGATTATGTAAAATTGTGTATTGCAAGGGTTTTGTAAACTCTAAAGCTAATATTAGTGACTGCTGTTCCCACTCGTAGGAGAAAGCTCAAGGACATAAAAATGTGTCTTAAGGTACTATTTTATGTGGATTACAATTAAAATTTCTTTTTTATTGAGGTAAAATTTACATAACATAAAATTCACCATTTTAACCATTTTAAAGTGTACAATTCAGCGACTTTTAGTACATTCACAATGTTTTGCAACCATTGCCACTATCTAGTCTGGAACATTTTCATTGCCCCAAAAGAAACCTTTACTCCTCATTTCCCCAGCACCAAGTACATGGCAACCACTAATTTGCTTTTTCTGTCTATGGATTTGCCTATTCTGGATATGCATATAAAAGAAATTATACAATATATACGTGGCCTTTTGTGTCTAGCTTCTTTCATTTAGCATAATGTTTTCAAGGTTTATTCATGTTGTAGCATGTATCACTACTTCATTCCTTTTTATGGCTCAACAGTATTTCGTTGTGGAATATACTACATTTTTAGTCCATTGCTGATGGACATTGGATTGTTTCTACCTTTCGGCTATTGTGAATAGTGCTGCTATAAAAATTTGTGTATAAGTTTTGGTGTGGACATATGTTTTCAATTATTTTAAGTATATACTTAGTGGAATTGCTGGTCCATATGGTAATTCTATATTTAACTTTTTGAGGAACCAGCAAACTGTTTTCCACAGTGGCTGCATCATTTTACATTCCCACCAGCAATGTATAAGAGTTCCAATTTCTCAGCATTCTTGCCAACACTTATTTTCTCTTTTGTTGATTATAGCGTTCTAGTGAGTATGAAATTGTATTTCATTGTGGCTTTGATTTGCATTTCCTAATGACTAATGATGTTGCGCATTTTTTCATTTTCTTATTGGACACTTGTATATCTTCTTTGGAGATATGCCTATTCTGGTTCTTTTCCCATTTTTTAATTGAGTTTGTCTTTTTATTGTTGAGTTGTAAGAGTTCTTTATGTATTCTAGGTACTAGATTCTTATCAGATACATGATTTGCAAATATTTTCTCCCATTCTGTGGGTTGTCATTTCATTTTCTTGATAGTATCCCTTGACACACAAACATTTTTGGTTTCATTGTTTTATCTATTTTTTCATTTGTTGCTTGTGCTTTCGTTTTCATATCTAAGAATCTATTGCCAGATCTAAGGTCATGCAGATTTACCCCTATGTTTTCTTCAAAGAGTTCTACAGTTTTAGTTTTTACATTTGAGTCTTTGATCTATTTTTAGTTAATTTTTGTAAATTGTGTGAAGTAAGGGTTCAAGGTCATTCTTTTGTGTGTGGATATCCAGTGGTTCTGGCACTATTTGTTGAAAAGACTGTTCTTTCTTCATTTAAGAGTCTTGGTATTCTTTTTGAAAAATCAGTTGATTATAGGTGTATGGTTTAATTTCTGGACTCTCAGTTCTATTCCATTGATCTATGTATCTAACTTTGTGCCAGTACCACACACTGTAGCTTTGTAGTAAGTTTTGAAATCGGGAAGTGTTTTATGCATATAAACAAATCAAAATTGTTTTGACTGTTTTAGATCACTTGCAATTCCATATGTTAGGATCATCTTTTCCATTTCTACAAAAAAGGCAGTTGGAATTTTGATAGGGATTATATTGAATCTGTAGATCTCTTTGGAGAATATTGCCAATATTAAATCTTCCATTCCATGAACGCAGGATATCTTTCCGTTTACTTAGGTGTTCTTTAATTTCTTTTAGCAGTGCTTTCTAGTTTACAGTGTACAAGTCTTGTACCTCCTTGGTTAAATTTATTCCTAAGT